CACCTCTCTATCACCCAACATGGTACATCCCACACTGCCCCCCATCTCCCCAATGGTACATCCCACATTGCCCCCCCCACCTCCCCCTATGGTCCATCCCACACTTCCCCCCATGGTACAGCCCCCCCCACCTTCCCACCCCCAGGGGCCACACATGGTTGTGCAAGGTAACCCCGACCTTTTGGACAGGGCTGCAAAATGTCAAAGCTTTTGCAATAAATTGCTCTAATATTTTTCTGTAGTGAAAGCAGAGAGCTGGGGTTCGTAGAGCAGGGCCTTGCATCCAACAAGGAGAACCCCAAGTTTAAAGCCGGTGAGAACCGCTGTCCTTAGCAAATGTCCTAACCTTGAGGCTACTGGTAAAAAAAAGCGGGGGGGGGAGTTCCTTCAACGAAATTGTTCTCAATCCATTTCCTGCCTTAAGACACCCGCCCCAGTTCTCCATTGCTAGTTGCAGGGAAGCAGGTGAGTATGGCAGGGGAGTAAATCAGGTGTCCTGCCAAAGGTGGGAGTAGAATCCAAACCACATGGAAGTGCCACAGACTTGCAGCCCGGTGCCTGGGAAAGTGTCGTTCGGATGCACAAAGAAATATGATATATTCCTTCACCCCTGCATTGAAGACAAGTTTCTTTTCTTTGTCTTAAGATGCATCATCAGTAACCTATGTCCTCTACTTCTCAAGCAGCTGTAACCTTCACTGCAATGTAAGATTTGCGTTGCACCCCGCTTCATTGCTCATGAGCCTGCTTCGTCCCTAGTTTTGGGTGTGAAAAACTCCCAGCTACATATGGTAAAACTACAACTTTATTCTCCTTCAAATCATGCTTTAAAGACTTGCCTTCGCTCTGATGCCTGCAGAGCGCTAACAGCAGATGATGAGTAGAGACCTGAGCAGTTAGGGATAATTAAACAAAATTGAAAGTATCATTCTTCCACTTTATGAATCTGTGGTGTGTCTACACCTTGAATAACATGCCCAGTTCTGGCCTTCACACCTCAAAAAGTATATAGAAGAACTAAAGAAGGTCCAGAGATGGGCAACAGAAGGATGATTAGTTGCATAGAAGGGCTTCCACATGAGAAGACATTAAAGGGTGTCTATACACATGCTCCGGGGGAGGGGGGTGCTTTAATTAGAGTGGCTTTGAGAGCTGCTTTAATTAAAGCACCTGCAGCATCATGTGTATTCAGCACCCCATGCTTCAAAATGGCTGCGGGGACACTTTAACTAAAGGTTGTTTGATGAGCTTTAATTAAACCCCCCCTCTGCCATTATGAAACACAGGGATGCGGAATACACATGATGAGGAGGCTGCTGGGGCACTAGTTAGCACACTCCAGCAGACTCAATTAAGTCTGCTCCAACATGTGCTAATTATAACCACAGGTCCATCGGGGATCCATGGGCCTAGACGGGGTCATTTGTCCATCCGGGGGGACGGGTGGCCTTACGTGGTCTGGGGGATGAAGAGCCCCGGGAGCTGGAAGCACTGGGAGGCCAGGTTCAGTGTCCATGGCTCTGTAAATGGCAGTTTTGATGCTCTAATAATCAGCTTCTTGCAAAGCCTACCTGTTTTTATTGGTACCTCATGCTCTCATTCTCCCCCATCCTTTCTTTTCTAACTTTGCACCTTTGAATCAGAGACTTGTGGAACCGGAGGGTTGGGAGGAACCTGGCAGCTCCTCTGGCCCAACCTGCCCACAAATACAGGGATGCTGCTGTAACGTGTGTTGTGCAATGTAATGCATTGTGTGCATTGGGATTGTATGTGAGTGTGTAACAGAAGGGGAACAACACTGTGTAATCCATGGTTACAGCCAGCAGGACTCAAGGGTTTGCTACGCTGCTTCTAAAGCAGCCCATCTCCCTCCGTCTCATTTCATAAGACAGGTCCTCTGCTTCCCTGATCATCCGAGCAGCCTTCTTTATACATCCCAGGTTGAATTCATCTTTCCTGACTGCAAGTGACAAAACCTGTGTGCCTCATTGCAATCCTAAAGGGTGAAGCTCTTCTGGACACGGGCTGTTTTTATTTGCGTGCATAATGGTTCTCCAGGGTGTAGGTTGTAGCCATGTTGGTCTAAGGCAGGGGTGGGCAAAATACGGCCTGCAGGCCAGATCCAGCCCGCGAGGCCTTTCTATCTAGCCCGCAGCTGTGAGTGGCTGCAGCAGGGAGTGCCGGCCATGGGGGAGATAAGGAGCCGCTTTTACCCACACTCAGCACCAGCTTCTTCCCTGCCAGCGAGCAGGGGGTCAGGGCTGTGCACTGCCCCCTGCCTGTACTGCAGGGCTGGGGGGCACTGGGCATGAGTGGGTCCGGGAGCCAGCAGGGACCCAAGGCCCGCACCGGTAGCCCAGGGCCAGTGCTGGCGGGGCCCAGAGCAGGGTGGCAGGAGCACGGGGTCCCGGCTGTCAGGGGCTCTATGGAGCCAGGCCAGCTCCCCGCTCTTCCTGCTGGTGCAGCCCAACCCGGCTCCACAGACCCCTGCCAGCCTGCATCCCGCTTTGGGCCCCACCAGTGCTGGCCCTGGGACATTGGTCCTAAGATAGTGACCAGGGGGTGGGGCACCTGTCAAGGGGCAAGGCTACCCATGCAGCCCTTGACAGCCTGCCAAAACTGGCTAAGCGGCCCTCCACCCAAAATAATTGCCTGCCCCTGGTCTAAAGCCATAAGCAGGCAAGGTTCTTTGGGTGAATCTGATCTCTTTTATTAAACCAGCTTAAATAGTTGGAATATACCTCCAAAGCTTGCCAAAAAAAATTTTCCAACTATTTTTTTCCAACAATATAAGTTGGTCTAATAAAAGATATAATGGTTCTCTGGCAGACAAGGTTCGTAGAATCATGCAATC